CTGGGGCATTATGTTGAAATAAATCAGACACAGAAAGATAAATATTGTATCTCACTTACAGGTAAAATCTAAAAAAGCCAAATTCATAAGCATAGAATAGATTGGTGGTTACCAGGGGCTGGGGGTGAGAGAAATGGGGAGATGTGACTTAAGGGTACAAACTTGCAACCAGAAGATACATAAGTCCTGGATTGTGATGAACAAACAGCATAGTCTCTATAGACAATATTCTTTTGTAAACTTTAAAGTTGATCAGACTAGATTTTAACTGTTTCCACCACAAAAAAGAATTAATTATGTGATGTGATAAATATCAGCTGACACAATGGTGGTAATGATTGCAATATATAAATGTATAAATGTATCAAATCAACATGCTGTGCACCAAAATGTGTATAATGTTGTCAGTTATATCTCAATAAAAATTAAATATTTTTTTTAAAATGAAAGAAACTCCCATCATTTTGCCCTTATACTTACTATCTTATTGCACATCCTGAAAGCCAGAAATAGAATACTGAGCCAAGCAGCAGTAGTAGCACTAACATAGAGGTTATGATACATGAAGTCCTGTTCTAAGCACTTTAAATTTTTAACTTATTTGTCACAATAACCTTATAAAGTAGCAACTATTATCTTCAATTTGCATAAGAGGAAACTGAAGCAAACAAAGTTTAAATAACTTACCCAAGGTCAAAAAAACAATAAGTACCCTGGCCGGTGTGACTCAATTGGTTAGATCATCATCCCATGTACCAAATGGTCACAGGTTCGATTCCTGGTCAGCACACATACTCAGATTGCATTTGATCCCTGGTTGGGGCACGTGCTGGAGGCAACCAATTGATGTTTCTCTCTCACATCAATGTTTCTGGCTGTCTCTCTCCCTTCCTCTCGCTTTAAAATCAATTAAACAAAGAAAAAAGACAGTATCAGAGCAAAATTCTGTACCAAGGCAATCTGCCTCTTCCCAAATCCATGCTCAAAACCATTACTCCTTACTGTCCATTAATCATCTATTTTGGTGGGGCTTTGGATGTCATTAATAACTTTATTCCCCATTCAAATATTTAAGAATTATTCTATACTTCATTCTTTACCTAGCCAAACATGTTTTTCCACATTCCCAACAAACTCTGGATCAGATGCATGTTTAGACTCCACAGACAAAATGTCCCCTGGCAGTCTTCATTTATGTCTTTCTTTTTAAATGCTTCCCAGGTCTGCAGGAAGAATGAACAAACAGTATTTCCTAGTTGTGCTAGTTGCTGCAAGGAGCACGCCCTCTAGTGGCCTCTGGCTGATATGCAGCCAGATAAAACACACACAAAGTGCTTCAATGGCTTTTCCTATTATAGGTTTAGTGGCAGAGTACACATAATGTTAAAAAACAAATTTTTAAAAATCTACACTAAATCTTAAGGCATTATTGTGTTTAACTGAGGGGATTACCACATCCTTAGATTGACAGGACAAAACACCAGGTCACAAGAACAATTATTTTACTTCCGGCTCAGATGTAGACAATTCAGGTAAGCCAGAGCTTTATTCTATTTTACTTTATCTATCATCTATCTACCTATCTACCTATCTATCATCTATCTACCTATCTATTATCTATCTACCTATCTATCATCTATCTATCTAATCATCGATCATCTATTTATTTATTTTATTGTTGTTGTTAATCCTCATCTGAGGATATTTTTTCATTGATTTCTACATGGGGGGGGGGGGGGCAGAGAAAGAGAGAGAAAGAAAGATCGCTGTGAAAGAGACACATACATTGGCTGCCCCGACTGAGGCCAAAGATCAAACCTGCAACCCAGGCACTCACCCTGACCAGGTTCTTGACCAGGAATCAAACCTGCAACCTCTCTGTCTGCTGGCAGATGCTCTAATCATTGAGCAAAGTGGCCAGGGCTGCCAGAGTTTTTTTTTTAAAGATACCATCCCTATATCTTGATAGCTTTCAAAAGGTGACCAAAAATAAAAATTCTTGCAAATTTTTAAAATAATTCCAGACCATAAAATTGCTGTGAAAACCTTTTATGTGGAAATCTAAAAAACAAAATAAACAAACAAGCAGAACAAAAACAGACTCATAAACAGAGAACATTTTGATAAGTGTTAGATGGGGAGGGAGGGAGGACGGGGCAGGGCAGGGGAGAGAGGGGGAGATAAATGAAAAAGGCGTAGGGATTAAGAAGTACAAATTGGCTGGGCCAGTGTGGCTCAGTGGACTGAGTGTCGTCCCATGGACTAAGAGGTTCTGTTTCAATCCCCGGGCAGGGCACATGCCTGGGTAGTGGGCTCAATCCCCAGTGTGGGGTGTGCAGGAGGCAGTCGATGGATGTTTCTCACATCCATGTTTCTCTCTCTCCCTTCCTGTCTCTCTAAAAAATAATAATATTACAAATAAACATTTTTTAAAAAGTACAAATTGGGCCCTGGCCAGTTTGGCTCAGCAGTTGGAGCGTCGACCTGTGGTACAGAGAGACCCGGGTTTGATTCCCGCTAAGGGCACATACCTCGGTTGCAGTTTGTCCCCGGCCCTGGTTGGTCGTGAGGGTGGCTGCCACTCGATGTGTCCCTTCACATCGATGTTTCTCTCTCTCTCTCTTCCTCTCTCTCCCTCCCGCTCTATCTGAACAAAAAATGGAAAAATGTCCTTGGGTGAGGATAAAAAAAAAAAAGTACAAATTGGTAGTTACAGAATAGTCATGGGGATGTAAAGTACAACATAGAGAATATAGTCAAATATTGTAATAACTATATATGGTGTCAGTTGGGTACTAGATTTATCAGGGTGATCACTTTGTAAGTTATATAACTGTCTAATCACACTGTTGTACACCTGAAATTAATATAATGTATGTCAACTGTAATTAAAAAATAAATATATATTTTTTAAAAACACTTCCTAATAAATAAGGCTAAATTTCTCAAAAAAAAAAAAAAAAATTGCTGTGAAAACCATCACAAACCTATGCATCCCCCAGAGTTAAGGGTTCTGCAAATAAAGGTAACTCTTTTTCCTTTCTTTCTCATTACAGAATACATGATTGATGGAAAGCACTTGAGTTTGAGTTCTATAGACACAAACCATGTTATTTCTTCATGTACAGTTAAGAGGCAATGACAAAAATGATTTTAGAAAGCTAGAAAATAACCAGAACATAACCAAAGTGCAATACAATCTTTAGCCAATTGTGATCATTAAAAGGAGACAGTAAGGCCCTGGCTGGTCACGGGTTCGATTTCGGTCAAGGACACGTACCTCCATTGCGATTCGTCCCCAGCCCCGGTTGGGGTCGTGGGGGAGGCAGCCACTTGATGTGTCCCTTTCACACCGATGTTTCTCTCTCTGTCTTTCTGTCTCTGTCTCTTCCTTCCTCTCTCTCCCACTCTGTCTGAACAAAAATGGAAAAATGTCCTCGGGTGAGAATTAAAAAGAAAAAAGGAAACAGTAAGCTACCAAATTTATTAGCAGCTATGCTAAATGATATCCAGTTTTCCTTTTCCCAGGCCATGGGGTCTATATAACAAAGTAAAATCTGTCTTCTCCACAGCTTTCTAGATCCCTAATGATTGAATCTGAGGCAAATAAATGAGATTTTCTACAACTATGACAAAGCATATGAGAAATACTTAGGTCATGTAACTAGGAACAATCAAATGAGAATGAGTAAAGGAAAATGCCCAACTTACTGATTTCTAGTCCCTCTTCACTGTTAATCCAACACGTATTTATTGAGCATCTACTATCTAGAAAGGCATATGGGAAGTACAGTGAGTAGATAAAAATGAAGACATAATCCTTGTATTCAAAGACCTTACAAACTAATAAGGAAGAGAACTTCAACAGCAACCCAAAGGAAAGGGAGCTCACTTTTCAGAGTGGGAGGATAGGTAACATTTCATGAAGTAGGATTTACGCTAGCTTCACAGGATGGGAAGGATTTCAACAGGCAGGCATAGAGGGAAAGGCAGTTTAGACAGAGGGAATTTTTAGCAAGCACTCAGTGCTCAGTGCCAATGGCATTTGAACAATGGCTAGTACCCTGGTTCGCTGGAGCGTATTTTGAGTGAAAGGGAAAACTGAGAGTGGAGGATGAAATGGTATTTGAACTTTACTCTGTAAGCAAAGAAAAATCATTCATTAAAAGCAATGAGCAGAGAGGAAAGGGCATTAGCAGGGCTTGGTTTTGGGAAGAATATTCTGGTAGCAACATATAAACTGAACTGGAGCTAAGAAAACTACAGGCAAGTGACTAACTAGGTTATCAGAATGGAGGAAGTGAGGAGTAATCAAGGTTCACATTGTAACCATGAAGGCAGACGTCAATGTACAACTAACTAAAGGGGTTGGGTTAAAAAATAATTATTTTTCCCCCAAACAAAATCTGAGGATTATAATACAGTTCTATCAATGACAGTGCCTCACAATATCAGAAACGTAAGAAAGGCCACAATTGGGAAGCCATCTAACTCCTATCCTTAGAGAGATCAAATGGAGGAATATCAGAATGTATGGAGAGAGCAGTACGTTACTCTACCAAAAAAAAAAGGCAAGCACCCAAATCATTGTGATTCATATCCTATAATAACCACTGAATGTGAACTCCAAGATCCTCTAGCTTTCAAAGTCTATGACTCACTTTAGTTCTATCTCTTACACTGATTCCTTTAATTTATGCTGGTTATAGTTCGGAGATGTGAGAGGTGGCCTAGATCATGAAGATAATTTGAAGCAAATGAAATTAACAGTGCTAGCAAATAAATGATTAATATAAATAATCTCTGTAAGGAGTGCTATGTGGGTTCAGAACTATGAGCGGAAGTGTAGCTTCAATTCCTTAAGAGACCCTATTTCTTAAAAAAGAATAGCTATAAAATATCCTTTTATTACCTACTGGTCCATTCATATAGGAGCAATTAAATAAAAAAAAGGTAATGAAAGAGGCAAATTAAAAAATAAAAGAGATCTTTTTCCATATTTTTAATTACCATTATTGCACCAGTACAGCATATGCTTTATATACATTTATCTTAAACTTCATTATCAACTTTTCAGCAATTCAAATACATAATATATTATCATCTTGAGAATACAAAGAACACAACGTGGAGGAAAATTGAGAAAATAGGTTCCCAATAGTTAGTCACTAGTGATTCTATTGACTTTCCTTTTAGTGTTTTCTATGGAATTTTAAAATGCCCTGCCATGGCTCTGTAAGAATAGAGCTGCCTGGAAGGGGAGGCAATGAAAAGAAATGGACCCGAAGTTAAAAGGAGTCAAGAAGAAAATCCAGGAGAGAGAATATACTTTGAAAATAAACATAAGGGCTCCCTTCAGCCACAATACATACATCCAAATAGATACTAAGGGAAGAAATGTTATCTTTTCATTTCATCCTCAAAACTGTCCCTTAACAAACAAAATAGAAAGTGGCCAGTTATCTAGGAAAGGGAACTCTCTTCACAGCATTGTAAAAGGAATGGTGGGGCAGAGGGAAAGTGGTGGGAGAGCCTTGGAGATACCCTGGGTGTGGGTATCAAAGCCGTCATTTGGGGAAAACCTATGATAGCTAAAGCGGTGACTCTCCAGCTTCCTTCATAAATGATACATGCAATTGCAGCTTTTCTATTGAAGAGCTAGATGGATTGAAAAACGTTTATGGAAAGGGGCCAGATACACAGGTAGCAAGGCATGAGGGCACTGAACAAGCGTTTAGTACTTTCAACCTCTCTGCTCTACAAATCAGGTTAAAAATTCTAACCCCTCAACTTCAGGTAAAAATACAGCAATCTAGATGAAGCTGCAAGAAGTACAGGTCCTTTAATAACTTCGTTTTGTTATGCTGTTGATAAGATACTGTAGGAACTTAATTTGTGTTTATTATCAATTAGCCTACGGTAAAACTGGTTTTATTGTAAGTGGTTTGGCTTAAAGTTGCAGAACCTATCAAAGATGTTAAGTGAGAACTTACTGTAAACACTTCTCTAGAATATAACTTGGAAAACACAGCTCCTTGAACCTCCTTTATCCAAGAGACACCCACTAATCAAAGATGTTGTACTATGCAACAAAAGAATAGTGGAGATGCCATCAACACAACCCTCTTATCACAGGAAGAGACGCGTAAACACATGCGAGGGTGATGGAACTGCATCCTGCACTGGATGTTCACTCAATAGGATGAACTTGAAGGAGGATATATAGCAGAGAACCAAGACACAGGTTCTTCTTCACTCCTATCCCTATTAAAATTCTGTGTTGGTAAACACTGAGGTCAGTCTGTCTATTTTCTGTCTTGGGTGAATGGAAAAGAAAGTTTCAAGGCTTTTGTCTCCCCTGAAATTGCTAAATAGGGCTTCACAAAGAGGGACACAAGGGTCATGAGATGATTCTGAAATATTTAAAGAATTTAAAAGATGGAGATAAATTCTGCATATGTTAGAGGTCATTTCCCCCTCACAGAGACCAGGGCCTATGGAGCCCTGCATAGTCAGCCACAAGTATGATAAGACCTACTATTCCCCTGTCTGTGAAGAGGAGATAAGAGATACTTTCTTGACTGCACAATAAGGAACAACACAGGGGAGTGACATAAATCAGCTTGAGCGCAATGAGAAGCTATGAAAAAGATTGTCCAGTAATTCTGGTTCTGGGGAGAGAAGGGATTCCTAACTTCCCTCACAGATTGGTGCCCTCAGGTCATCTTATTCTTCAAGTCTGTCCTTAATGTCCTGTTAATGGTATTCAGAACTGGACCCAGTTGGATGGTTGTGGTGCCTGGTTTGAAACAGAGCTGCAAGACAAAACAGAGAGAAAGCCAAACGCATAACATTAGGATAGCTACTCCATTCTTTACTTAAGTTTCAAAGGAATCGCTGCCCAGAATTTCTGACTCTATTTCACAGTAATCCTTTCTACTTACTAAGGCCTGAGATATCTCTAACTTCATCCTACATTTTTACCTCACCATCTCCAGCACTCCTATACTTCCTTACCTAGAATTCCTGCCAAAGATTCTATATGACCTACAAATGCCCTATTTTACCAGATCAAAGATTTCATCTGACTGTCCATATCATCTATACTCTGACTGAGAGTGTGTTGTTTTCACCATGCTCGTACCTGGATGCAGTGCTAAAGTCTCCCCACAAGTCATTGCTTGCAGAAACTGGAGCTGATGCTGGTGTGGGGTTGGGAGCAGGAGAATCCAAATCTAAAAGGATATCTGAATACAAGGTAAGAAAAAAAAAAAAAGATAAACATAATAAAAATTGTAGAAATGGAAACTTATGTTCACATAATCTATATACAGCAGTTTTATTTGTAATAGCCAAAAACTGAAAACAACCCAGATGTCTTTACATGGGTGATGGTTAAACACATTGTGGTACATCCACACCATGGAGTACTACTCAGCAACAAAGAGGAAGAAACTACTGATGTACACAGCAGCTTGGATGAATCCCAAGGGAATTATGCTAAGTGAAAAAAGCCAATCCCAAATGTTATATACTATATGATTCCATTTACATAACATTTCTGAAGTGACAAAATTACAAAGATGGAGAATAAAGATTAGAAACTGGGATAGGAGGGATGAAGAAGAAAAGAGGCTAGGAGGAAGATGTCGTTATAAAAGAATGACACAAGGGATCCTTGTAGTAACAGAACTGTTCTGTAGGCCGAGCAGGTGACGGATCCAGGAATCTACACACAGTCAAACTGCACAAAACTAAACACACACATATATACAAAAGAGAACACATAAAACTGGTAAAATCAAAATAAGATCAGTAATTAGTATCAATGTCAATTTCCTAGTTGTGACATTAGACTAGTTTTGCAAAATGTTAGCATTAAAAGAAACTGAGTAAAGGATACAAGGAATTTTGTTGCATTATTTTTACAACTGCATGTGAATCTACAATTATCTCAAAGTAAAAAGTTTAAGCCCTGGCCCCAGTGGCTCAGTTTGTTGGTACTCCATCCCATACACTGAAAGGTCACAGGTTCAATTCCCGGTCAGGGAGCACACTCAGGTTGCAGGTTTGATCCCCAGTTAGGGTGTGTATGGGAGGCAATCGATCAATGTTTCTCTATCCTATGGGTGTTTCTTTCTCTCTCTCTCTCTCTCTCTCTCTCTCTCTCTCCCTCTCTCTCTAAAATCAATAAAAACATACCCTTGGAGAATTTTTTTTAAAGTTTAATTTAAAAAAAAAAACTTTTTAAAATCTTAGCTATTATCCCTAGCCTTCCAGTGACACTTATTATAACACACATTATAATATCTGGTTTCGCTAGTCTTAGGAAAATTCCTTTCTGAATTCTAATGTTCTCATTCTTTAAATGTAAATAACTATATCCATTCTTTTCCCCACCGGACAGTAAGAAAGAACAAAATGCATTCACAAGCCCAGATGTCTCATTTCCTCGTAACTGCCCTCCTGAAGAAATGGAAAGGATTTAGAAATAACATTTACTGAATGGCTACTATTGTGCTAGGTGTAGTCCATCATTTAATCTTCATAATCCTGAAGTAGTTTTACTTCTCCATTTTGCAGATAAGGATACTAAAACTCAAAGAGCTTAAGTAATGCTACCAAGCACATTCAGATATAAAGTAGCAGTCACAATTGAAAATTTGGTCCATCTGACTCCCAGGCCTATTAGCATCTAACCAACATACAATGAAAGTAACAGTCTTTTTAATATCAACCCATTTTCTGCAAAAAAATCTACCAGATACCATTACTCTCAGTTCACCAGAAAAGCTTTGATCCCTTGATAGAGGCTGCCTGAATCACCTTTTTGGTACCAAGTGCCATTTAATAGAAAAAACATCAACACTCTCCTTGGCAAACAGGTGTTATCTGGTTACAGCCTAAAGAATTATTTCTGAAAGTTAAAAGTAATAGAGAGATTTACCTGCATCACTACCTCCATGGTTAGATTTTGGAATGGGTGGTGGAGTAACATGATTGCTGATGGCAACTGAGGAGGATGGTGGAGGAATAGTGACTTTGCCTCCAGGAGGGGGTGGGAGTAAGCTTAGGCCTCCAGTCCCTGCAGTCTTGGGCTTAGAAGTGCCTCCTTTCTTGGTTGTAATGTTCTATAAAAGAAAAAAGAGGGAGAGCGAGAGAGAAAAAGAGAAGTCACAGGCTTATGAAAATACAGAAAGGGAGGGAAAAAAAACCAGACTCACCCCAATACTCAACTTGATAGTCTGTCCTTCCTTGAAGCCCAGATCCAACTTGGGACGTGTGTCCATTTCCTGAGATTCTTTGGAAATCTCAGATTCCTGCTTTACCCACCTTCAGCAAAAGAGTAAGTTTTCTTAATTTGAGATTCCCTCAATGCAAAGTTTGACACACAAATATGAGTGTAGCTAATTTATGTAAAACAGGATTCCAGAAAGCCAAGTGAGGGAACATGAAGAGTTGAGAAAGAAAAAAGGAAAGCCAAGAAAGAGAGCAACTAGGGCTCAATACCACCAAGGAACCAAACAGAATATGTATGAAACTTGTCCCTCCAACAGAGGGCATTTGGCCACTCATTTTCATCCCCCATGGTTGAGGGGTGCCACTGAGGGGGTGCTAATTCCTCAGTTCTTACAGGTTGTTCCCCTGTGCTAACTGAGTGACCTTCCACAATTTCAGAGTCCTGAGGCAGAAAAGTAGTAGTATTCCTGCCTTGAAACAGAAAGCTGACAGTGTACACAGTGCTTTCTACAGTTATGCCAAAGTCAGGTGGGCTGCAAAAATGGTACAATAGGCACAAAATATGTCAGTTACATGAAGTAACAAAACTGGCACTTAATTCCCCACATATCTTACATACCGCCCTGCTGTTACTATATGCCTCTCTCGGCCACCAAAAACAACAGCTAATTCCCCAGAGGCATAATATACAAAAGCATCATCTCAAACCATTGTACAAGGAATCAAAAACATATTCCAGTCTATAAGGAAACAGTAAAACAGATGCAAAAATAATGTAAAGAAACAGAGTGAACAGGAAAATTTATATTCATAATAAACTACTTTACCAAATAAACAAAACAAGAGGTAAAAGAAATAGTGCCCAGTCAACTGAGAAGCAGCTTTCCCAAAACCATTTAACCTGGTAACTAAAGATGAGCTTCACTCACTTGAAGTGATCTTGCAAGGAGACATTAAAGTCGAAGGCATCACCCCTATCTGTGAAGCCGACGCCAATGAAAGCACTACGCCCTGAAGAAAAGACAGGAATGCTCAGAATAGGAGTGTCCCTATGGCAAATTCTACCCAATGAAAATATAACAGTTAGCCTACCTGAAGGCTAGGAATGTGAATCATTTTCCCCCAGACCAGGGGTCCACAAACTACATAAAGCCCATAGTCCACATGCTGCCATAGCCTGTTTTCGTAAATAAAGTTTCACTGGAACACAGCCATGCCAATTTGTTTACATATTATCTATGGCTGCTTTAATACTATAACAGAACTGAGTAGCTGCAATAGAGACCACTTGGCCCACAAAACCTAAAATATTTACTATCTCTTTACAGAAAAAGTTTGCCAACCTCTGATATTGACTATAGAGAAAAGATAATGGTTGCTCCAGATACAGGTGATTTAAGATAGTCCCACCAAAACCCACCACAAACAACCAATATGGCAATATGTGTAAATTCTTTTGTTAGAAATTCATTTTTGAGTTATTTACATCTGCCTGCTAATAATTACGTCTTGAACTTGTGTACATATCTATTACAAATAATGTGTTAATCCTTCTTTAGAAACTATAGTTAACTTTGGAAAAAGGGGAGGAAAAATTTAGTAAACTGAAGTAAAATAAATGCAATCAGGACACATTTTCATTGAAGTGCATCAACTATTTTCCTAATCTCATCCCATTCCCAATCTCAGATCACTTACCAGTACCATCCTGGATCCGGATTACAAAGTAGCGGCTGGAATCTGTCACTGTCTCCACAGCAATACCAGGATACTGTTCTATTGGTGCCTGAGCAAAGAGTTCCCCTGACAGGTAAGAAAAAGACGTCTTTGAGCAAAGGAAGCAAAAATCTAAAACTCCACTTAACAAGCGTTTCCATTTTAGTCCCCAATGTGAAGATACTTACAAAAGTACACCAAAACAATATCCTTAGGATGTTAGAGGTTCACCACCATAAATTACCTGAAACTTTATCCTCGAGTTTGATATAAGCAATCTTCCCTTTTGAAGTGATTCGGAGGCGACCAGTCCAATCAGGTTGGTCTAATTTCCAATCAGATGCCCTACGATAGGAAAATGGGAAGCCTCAGGCCTCAGGTCCATGTCTTTAGTATACTAACAACCTATGCAGAACATTTGTCATATTTCTATTTTCCTGTCCTGGATTACTTATACATTCTACCTATTAAATAATCAAGAATAGTTCATAATCCCCTTTATAAGATGCCTCCTGTTACACACTGTCCAAAACAAATAGAAGACAATGTTACTATTAGAGGGTTCTGGAGTTCAATAATACCTTTCATTGAAGTCAACCAATATTTACAAGCACTATTCTAGGTGTTTGTGATACAACAGCAAACAAAACAAAAACCCCTACCCTTGTGAGGCTTACATTCTAATAGAAAACAGACAATAAAAAAGAAACATAATACATAAGTAAAATAACTAGTGTCTTAGCAGGTGATAAGTACTGAGGTAAAAAAAACACAAGCCTGGCCAGTGTGGGTCAGTAGTTGAGCATCAACCCATGCACCGAGAGGTCACCAGTTCAATTCCCAGTCAGGGCACATGCCCAGGTTGTGGGCCAAACCCCAGTCAGAGGGCATGCTGGAGGCGACCAATGTTCTCTCTCCTTGATGTTTCTATCTTTCTCTCCCTCTCTGTTCCTCTCACTCTAAAAATCAATAAAAAATAAATAAATAAAAAGAAAGAAACACAGGCAGCAAAGGGGGATGGGGAGGGTGATGGGAGAGTAAACAGGCTGCAGCAATCGAGAGTGGTCAGAGTAGGCCTTATTAACAAGGTGAAATGTGAGCAAAAATGTGAAGTGAGACTTATCCATGCAGATAACTGTGAAAAAGCATTCCAGGCACAGGAGGCAGTTAGAACAAAGGTGCTAAGGTAGGAGCCTGCCTGGAATGTTTGCCCTCAAGCAAGGTGACCACTGTAATGAGAATAAAGAGATGAGATGGGAAAACTAAGAGAGAGCCTGGTCATGCAGGGCCTTATAAGCCATTGTAAGAACTTTGGCTTTGCCCTGGCCTATGTGGCTTAGTTTGTTGAGCATTATCCAATGCACCAAAGATCACTAGTTCAATTCCTTGTCAGGGCACATGTCTGGATTGTGGGCTCCCTCCCCAGTAGGGGGCATGCAGGAAGCGGCCCATGTTTCTCTCTCCAAAAAAGTAATAAGAACATTATCTTTTTTAAAAACACACAAAAACTTTGGCTTTTACTCTGAGTAAAAGAAGAGCCTTTATAGGCTTTAAGCAGAGGTGTGACACAATCACCCTTTTATTTTAAAAGAATTATTTTTCTACCCAGCTGGTGTGGCTCAGTGGTTGAGTGTTGATCCATGCACAGGTGTTACAGGATTTTTAAGATAAATCCTTGTCATGCCCTTCTCTCTTGATGCCCTGCTCTCAAAGACCCTCAAGTACCTGAATCTGATCCTGATTAGAGTGCTCTAGAGATCCCAACTATTAATTTTTAATTGAGTTGTTACTTATTCTACCATACTACAAAGAGTTAGATATAATGAAATGGCTATTGAAAATATTAGGAACCAGCCTAGTGGATGTGTTTCTTTGGACAGGTTCCTTGTCTTATCTATCATATGTGTCTAGTGGTCAATACTTAACAAATTTCAAATAAGTGAATGGATATTCATGGCAGCAGTTTCCCTCAGCCTTCAGTCTTGGTTCCTCTCCCACTCTCAAGACCTAGCCTGAAGAATTCTTGGTTTTGCTGGTCTTCTGACAATATTCTAAACTGACCTCACAAATTTTTATTTACCTTAGCAATAAATCTTTACATCAGTCATATGAAATAGGCATAAAAACCCCATCAACTCTCTCTCTCTCTGAGTCTAAAGGAAAGGATAATAATACAGTAACTAATAATGCCTAAGTTCAAAGTCCAGCATTCTTTTCATTACATTAAAGCATGTTATAGAATGTAATATTAATTTAGAGAAGAATAGAAATAAATTTATAGGATGAGAAACCATTTTCTAATTATTTATAGTTTCTCATCAACCTAAATCATCCATTTGTCTGGTCAATGAGAATTTGGAAAGAAAAAGCTTACAGCAGGTAAATCAAAGTCATTTATTCCACCCTGGCTGGTTTGGCTCAGCGGTTAGAGTGCTGGCCCATGGATCAATGAGTTGTGGGTTTGATTCCAGTCAAGGGCATGTACTTCAGTTGCGGTTCGTCCCCTGTGTGCGAGGTAACTAGTCAATGTGGCTCTACCACATTGATGGTTCTCTCTCTCTCTTTCCCTTCCTCCCACTCTATCTAATGATAAAAAGAAAAATACCCTTAAGTGAAGAATTTTTTAAAAAAGTCATTTATTCCCTCTGATATTATTCATCACTAAAAGAAAGAATTTCTTCTGCTTCCTACAACACCCAGTTTTTCCTTTAATGGTACCCTGGAGAATAAATCATGCTCATAATGTAAAATGGATTCTAGTACACAACAAAGAAAGATTATGTGGACAAGACAGAAAAGTAATATTTACCAGCATTTATTATGTGTCAGTCATTATGCCCACTCTAGTGAAAATTAAGTAAGAGAACCTCGCAAGGTAATTAGTATTACATCCATTTTTATAGATGAGGAAACTAAACCTCAAAAGAGTTAAGTGACTAGCCAAAGGTAACCCAGCAAACAAATAAGTCATAATTCAAACGTACTTCTGCTCCACTCACTCACTATACTAAGAGTAAAGAGTAAAATTAAGAAAATGCTTTGCCCAGCCAGTGTGACTCAGTGGTTGAGCACTGACCCATGCACCAAGAGATCATCAGTTTGATTCCTGGGCAGGGCACTTGTCCAGGTTGTGGGCCGGATCCCCAGTGGGGGTCATGCAGGAGGTGGCCAATCGATGTTCTCTCTCATTGATATTTCTATCTCTCTCTCCCTCTCCCTTTCTCTCTCTCTAAAAATCAATAAAGAAAAAAAAATTTAAAAATAAAACAAAGAAACACACTGTGATTGAGACACAAACTAAACTACCAACTTAAAAAAAAAAAAGAAAGAAATTGCTTAGATGACTCAGTGCAGTTAAATGTCATATGGATAAAGGCTGTGGATAAACCAGGAAATGAAGGTAGAGAATGCAGATGAGTGAGAGAAAGTGGGTCTTTTACAAAGCTTGAAGTAAAAGAAGTTGAAAGGTTTGAGCTATTTTCCTTATTTAACACTTTCAATCAACACTAATTTGTGTGATTAAGTGTAAATTACTAATTTCATCTTACAGTCAACATTTACAGAGTGTCCACTATGTGCTAGGCCCTGAGACTGTAAAGTTAAAAAGACCTCAAGTGCTCCCAGTCTAGTCTGGAGATACAGGAGACCACACAATCAATTACAATACAGAAGGAAGAGCACTGTGATAGAGAGGAGTGTAGGTGCTATGGAAGCACAGAGCGCAAGCCTAAGCCTGAATGGAAGGGTCCAGCATGGCTTCCCCAAAAAAGTGATGTCTCAGATGAGTCACATACATAGTACTACCATCAAAAAGCAAGTAGATTCCTATTCATGCACAATCTGGGGTCTGTTTGAAAGCTTGAAATTAGGACTTGTCTGTTTGACAAAAGGGTACAACTCACGGTGTTTATGCACAGGTCAGCAAGCACAAAGATATTGATTCATGAGGAATGAACCTCTGCTACAAAGGCAAAATAATGGGCTGATGGAGAGGATAACTTTTTAGCCAAGGTGATAATAAATGCCAAGGAGAAAATCATGATGATGATATGGATCAGAAAGAGGAATAAAAATAACATCATATATTCATATACTGCTTTACTGTATCCTAAATTCTTTCACATTTATTATATGATTTCATTTAACCCTCCCAAAACTGTGAGGTATATAACTACAGCAGGTTTTATTATCACCAACTTTTTTTTTTTTCCATTTTACAGATGAGAAAACAGGCTGGAGAGGTTAAGAACTTTGTCCAAAAGTCATACAGTTGTTAAAGTGCCAGGGCTCATAGTCATACTTTTTAAACATGTAACCCACTGAGTTACACGTTAGTTCTTTCCACTACTGACTTCATGATTTCCTACAGCATCCTCAGACCCTGTCATTGAATAGCAAGGTGATTAGTTAGTCCTACAGAGAAAATGCTATATTAACTCTGAAGGGAAAAGCTATAGGAGAGGTTAAGTAGAGAGGGAGGGGAGAAGATAGAAAATACTGTATAAACGTCAAGAAAATATATTAAAAAGAAAGAAAATGGACAACCATTGGAAAACCTATGATCATAATGACCTTTGCCCACTGGCAAAAGATCTGGAAAGGAAACTGATGATGATATTTGGTGGCAAGACTGACTGACAACGGCACAATGAAATCAGAGAGATTGATCAAGAACACAATGATTATCCACAGATGTGCACGGAGTACTGGAAATGGGGGTTGGGGGAGGGAGACAAACTGAAGGGCGCAGGGAAGAGGGAGGGAACGAAAGGTGACTGGCGATGGAGCAGGCAGAACTGGATCGGGATGATGGGGAGCGGACCGATAACTCTGAAGGTCCGGGGGCGGTGGGATGGGAGAATGCAGGACGGTAATATATTTTTTAAAGCGGCGTAAACAAAGATGTGGGCAGTCACGAGTGGGGGAAGAGCAGCAGGGCAGCCCAGGTGGGGAGGCCAGCAAGGTGACAACCCAGAGGTGAGGCACTGGCCTGGACGAGCAGTGTGCCACCTGAGCAGGAAACCGACCGGGTAGGCGTGGGCTGCAGCGCCTCGGAGGTTGTACCTGTAACCGCGATTGGAAGCCCGGGGCGGAATCCGGTAGACGCTGACGTCGGGCTTCACACACAGCACAGACTCGTACTCCACCTCCGCCGCCATCTTGGCTGTGCTCTCCGCGCCACTGGGGGCGGGGCGTAGAAACAGGGGCGGTACGAGGGCGGGGAGTTTCGGTACGCGACAACTTCCGCTTACGCTACTTCCGCTCCAGTTTAAATTGGTTCCGGAGAGTAACCTCCGGCGGTGTGGGTTGGGGACGCCATATTGAAACCTGGAAACGGTGAAGCCGCGCGACTCACCATCTTGGATAATGGCAAAGATGCAGTCCTCCTGCTTAACTCACGTTTAGGAAAATCTCCATCCCCAGGAGGTAATGAGGGGAAAGCGCCATCTTGCTTCCGGCTGGTACCAGGAATGCTCTTGAAATCTGGCGGTTTTTTTGTTTCTTCCCAAACTCACTTCTTGACTGTCGTTTTCTGGCAGAAATCCACCATTGATAAAACCCAACTTGTAGGAAATGTATGATCCAGTCCTGGGCATAGTGGATTTTAACATATCAGAGCCTGAACGTTAAAAATGCCCAGGCTGATTACTGAACAGCACCCTATTTTCTCGTACTTTCCACAGCAGCACCTGTTGAAGTCATATGCTGCACTTGCAGTTGTGTATTCTGGTTATGGAAAACTTGACCTGTTAAACATTTAAGTGAGATCAAACTAATTCCTGACAAGCACCGGAAGCATAATGAAGTAGTTAATGGCTATATGTTCCCATTCAGTTATAATGATAAAAGGCTACTGAACTCTCTCTATAAAATATGTTTCTATACTCTCCAAATGTAAACGTGCCACAACAATATCACTTAAAACCATTTAATTAGCACACATAGCAAATGGCAAAACAAGTCTGTCTGACTATAACAGCAGTGATCTTCATCACTTAACCTGTTTCTAATTTATCTAGGTAGACAAGTGATATCTTAAAATTCAAAAAGAATTATATCTATCCCAGGCAAAGATGTGGAGAATTGGCTATTCTCCTATACTATTGGCAAGAATGTTAATTGGTGAAAGAAAGAAAGAAAGAAAGAAAGAAAGAAAGAAAGAAAGAAAGAAAGAAAGAAAGAAAGAAAGAAAGAAAGAAAGACAACCCTGGCCACTTTGGCTCAGCAGTTAGAGCGTTGGCCTGCGGTCCAGAGAGACCCGAGTTCAGTTCCCACTAAAAGCACGTACCTCGGTTGCAGTTTGTCCCCGCCAGGTTGGGGTTGTGTGGGACGCAGCCACTCGATGTGTCCCTTTCACGTCCATGTTTCTCTCTCTCTCTCACTCCCTCCTTTCCTCCCACTCTATCTGAACAAAAATGGAAAAATGTCCTCTGGTGAGGATAGAAAAAAAAAAATTTAAAAAAAAAAAGAGTGTTAATTGGTACAGCATTTTTGAGGGAAAATTTAGCATAATTGATCAAAATATTGCACATAACCTTCAATTTAACAAATCTACTAATGGGCATTTTAGAGAAATTCTTACATGCACAAAAATGTATGTATAATGTCTATTATAATATTGTTTGTAATAATGAAAAAATGGAAACAACATGAATATCAATTGGACATGGTTAATGGCATATCCATTACCGTGGTATGCTTTGCACTAGATATACCTATACATATAAAACCTTGATATTAAAGCAATAGAAAAAGATCCAAGATTTAAAACAAAACAAACAAAAGCAAACTTTCACTTAAAATTTTAGTACTCCTCAGCTACTTCTGATTCCCTAAATTGTCCATGTTCTTCATACCTTTCCATGCCTTAAACCTTCTACCTTAAACACTCTCCCCTAACTTGTCAATTTGGTGAACTGATACATTCACATATCAGCTCAAACAATACATCTTCTGTGACTTTGCTGGGATCTTTAGATGAATTTTCTCTAATGCTTCCACTTGCTTCTATTATACCTCATTTTTGTACCTAATACTTCAAATATCTCCTGCTAAACCATAAACTCCACAAAGGCAAGAGCTTTGCTTTTTCAGCACATAGCACAATTCCTTTTACATAGTAGGCAATAACTTTTGAATAATTCAATAATCGTATTTAAAATATAATCATTTAACTTATTAGTTTGAACATTTCCCCAAATTCCCCAATTTCAGGACCCTATACACATGGCAAAAAAGTCAGAGCATAGAAAGGTATCAAATGAAAAGTGAAAGTTAACATCTCTATATTATTAACAACTTAATACCAACAAATAAATAACTTAGGAGACTTCCGGTCAAGATGGCGGCATAGGTAAATGCGGTATCACGTCCTCCCACAACCACATCAAAGTTACAAATAAACTACAGAACAATCATTATTCAAAACCACCTGAAATTGAGCTGAATGGAAGTCCTACAACTATGGAATTAAAGAAATAGCCACATCAAGACTAGTAGGAGGGGCAGAGGCGTGACAGGCTGGCCCCACACTCATGTGTAGCAGATAAAAATCAGGAGGATCCTTGGCTGGGAAGGTCCTCTCTGAGGACTGAGGGGTCCCCGTCCCACACCAGGTGCCCTGTTCAGGGTTCCAGTGCCAGGAACAGAAGTCTCCATAACTTCTGGCTGAAAAAAACAGTGGGAACTGAGGCTCAGGGAGGCTGAAGTGGCTGGAGCCCCAGGCAGCTCTTCTGAAAGGGTCCGCACATGGACTTATCAAGCTGTCTCCCTCTAAGCTTGGAGGGGAAGCAGCTCAAGGGGCACCACAGACATACAGGGAAGAACTGAGCTGTTTGGCACTGGAGCGAGGGCTGGAGAGGGGGCTTTCTCCGGGGCAAACGTGCTGTCAGAGGCCTTTGTTCCTTTGGTGAGCCCTTCCCTGGGGCGGCAGACAGCCACCATATCTGAGACTCCAGCAACCTGGCTCAAACTGGTTGCCCCACCCTGGTGATTCCCTGAGGCCCCACTCCACCCAACTTTCAGGCCCACCCAAGCTGTTGCCAGTTGCTTTACCATAGGATTGACCTGTCTTGGATCCTGCTTCAGGTTTTCCTAAATCCTTTCAAACAGGCAGCATCTGGTCTCAGCTAGCCCCATACCTCTCGTTAAGTAATACATAGAAACAAACACAAGGGGGCAGCCAAAATGAGGAGACAAAGAAACAGGTCCCAAATGAAAGAACAGAAAAAATCTCCAGGAAAAGAACTAAGTGAAATGGAGATAAGCAACCTAACAGATGCTGAGTTCAAAGTTTATAAGGATGCTCAATGAACTTAGAGAGAACCTCAGCAAACTTAGGGTCTCAACAGCATAAAAAAGGACAAGTCAGAAATGAAGGATGCACAGTCAGAAATGAAGGAGGCACTAACTGAAATAAAGAATAATTTTCACAGATTCAATAGTAGCGTAGGTAAAGCCAAGAAGCAAACCATCGATTTAGAATATAAGGAATCAAAAAACACCCAATCAGAACAGCAAAAAGAAAAAAGAATCCAAAAAATTGAGGATAGTGCAGGGAGCCTCTGGGACAACTTCAAGAGTGCCAACATTTGCATCTTAGGGGTGCCAGAAGGAGATGAGAAAGAACAAGAAATCAAAAACCTGTTTGAAACAATACTGGCAGAAAACTTCCCTAACTTGGTGAAGGAAACAGACATACAAGTCCAGAAAGCACAGAGATTCCCAAACAAGATGAACCCCAAGAGGCCCACACCAAGATACATCATCATCAAAATGCAAAAGGTTCAAGACAAAGAGAGAATCTTAAAAGCAGCAAGAGAAAAGCAGTTAGTTATCTACAAGGGAGTTCCCATAAGGCTGTCAGCTTATTTCTCAAAAGAAACTTTGCAGGCCACAAGGGAGTGGCAAGAAATATTCAGAGTGATGAAAAGCAAGAACCTACAACCTACTCTATCCTGAAAAGCTGTCAGAATCGATGGCCATATAAAGACTTTCCCAGACAAGAAAAAGTTAAAGGAGTTCATCACCACCAAACTGTTATTATATGAAATGTTGAAGGGTCTTTTTGAAGAAAAAGATAAAGTATATGAACAAACAAAATGGCAATGAATACATATCTATTGACAATGAAATCTACAAACAAAATGAACAGGCAGAATAGAAACATTCTCATAGATACAGAGAACATTTTGTTGGTTGCCAGATGGGAGGGGGTTTGGGAGAATGGGTGAAAAAGGTGAAGGGATTGAGAAGTACAAATTCATTGCTAGACTGACAAACCTCAAAGAGAAGGGGGTTGGGGAGTGGGAATAAATAAACCAAAAAACTTATATGCATAACCACTGGACACAGACAATATTGTGAGAAAAGGCGGGAGGGAGGTGGGAGTGGGGAGGAGGGGGTCAATAGGGGGAAAATGAGGAACTCTGCAATACATTCAACAATAAAGATTATAAATAAATAAATAAATAAATAAATAAATAAATAACTTAAATGAAATGGTCATTGATGTACACAACTACCTAAAATAATCCAAGAAGACAGAAAATCTGAATATATCTATATCTATTAAAGATATTGAATTCATAACAAAACCTTCCCAACTGGTTCAGCCAACCTTCTCATTGCTGATCAAACATTTTAAAAGGAAATAATATAAATTCTATACAACTCTCTAATAGAGGAGGAAAGAACACCTTTCGATTAAATTGGAGACAATCGTTACCTTGATACCAAAACCAGACAAAGATGTTACAAGAAAACCTTGGACCAATATTTCCTCATAAACAAAAATTCTTAACAAAATATCAACAAATCAAATCCAACAATGTGTAATAAGGACAATACACCATGACAAATTGGGATTAACTTCCTAGGAATTTAAGGTTAATTTAACATTCAAAAACCAGTAAGTATAATGCACCATATTAACAGTATAAAGAAAATGTACATAATTATCTCAACAGAAGCATAAACATATGAAAAAATTCAATACTTATGACTTTTTAAAAACTCTCAGCAAAATAAGAATAGAAGAGGACTTCCTCATTCTGATAAAAAACAGTATGAAGCCCTGGCCGGTTTGGCTCAGCGGTTGGAGCGTTGGCCTGCGGACCAGAGAGACCCGGGTTCAGTTCCCGCTAAGGGCATGTACCAAAAAAAACCAA